GAGACCTAGCCCTCACGGCCTCCCCTCTACACGGGAGCAACACAAAGAATCGACTTTTCATGCACCACACCAAGCACACGCAGAAAGGCTAAGAGGTTGTAAAGAACAGCTTATAGGGGGAGAGCTACCTCCAGCAAACAGAAAGTCACAGGGGTCAGACTCGTGCTTATTAAAGGGTGGTTAGGATGTGAAAGCCTGTGTGTGTGTGTGTGTGTATGTGTGTGTGTGTGTGTGTGTGTATACACCTGTGAAGCAACATGGGCTATGCCAGGGGCAGTGAAGTCAGCCCACCCACCCTGTCTCTTAATGAGGGCTAAGGGGCCAAGGAACTGGAAGGCATTAGAACACGGTGTTATGTCCTAGAAATGACCGTGCTCTGACTGGGTCATCAAGTCTCACACATCGGCCCTGCATGGTGCAGCACGTGGGGCCTGTGGGCTCCCAGGAGACACTGATCGGGTAAGGCTCCACGAGGGCAGACTCTAGCCCAGCTCCATCCCTTCATCAGGCTTTGCCTGAACACCCAAGGACAGAGCCCTGGGCGCCACAGTGCTTCAGTTTCTCCATCTTTTATGGGAGGATACACAACTGTTCACCCCTGGTGGGGGCGGGGGCTGGCTAAGAGGGGTTGGGTGCGGAGGGTGTGTTTACAAAATCTGCTGAGCTTCTCTCTTAGAAGCTGCCTCCATAGAGTCAGTGGTTTATATGGTAATGGGAGTGTTTGCTCTCTTTACAACAAGAATGCAGATGCAAAAGTGGCTGCCTCGACTCTTCACTGGCCGCTGCGGGGCAGGGGCCAAGAGTGAATTGTCCTCTAAGGGTTTGGAGAGGTGTTCAGCAGAGCCCAACACGACCAAGTGCACCGTGCACTGCCTCCTCAGCGCCAAGCTCGCCGTTAGCCTTTGAACCTCAGCTCACAGAAGAGTGCACACGAGAGAAATATAAAGCCCATTCCCAGGTCAGTGCACACACAACCCCTATGCCAAGCTGGGCCTTACCTAGAGGAGTCTGACACTCACCACTGTCCTGAGCTACGGCAAAAGAAAAATAATAGTATAATCTTATTTGATCTGCATTATGAACAGGATATAGAGTACAAGCAGTTCCATCACAGAAAAGCAATTGAGACATCTGTCGTCTGTTTCATTTTAAGGACATTTCTGTGACCCACAGCTCCATCTTTCTTTCACGGCTCAGGCAGAGCACTAAGGGCTGGGATTCATCTCCAAGACATTCTCTCAGGCAAATGGGTTCTCAAGATATGGCAGAGGAGGAGTGGGGGAGGGAGGGGGGGAGGAGAAAAACAAAACAAAACAAAACAAAAACAAAGACTCACTGTATAGCCAGAAGGCATTATCAATTTTGTCAAAGTATTCTTCTACTTGGTCATCCTAGAACATAAACTATCACACAGGGACCGTTAGCACCGCACGGAAAGTGGCATCAGGGTTCACTGTGCATCCTCCCCAACAGGTTCACAGGTTGGGGTGTGGCGGGCCCCTGAGGGAAGCCACGACCAACCCCGGCAGGTGCCGTGAACGGAACCGGTGTCACTGGGCTCCTGGGAAGGGCTTCGAGGGCTGGTCAGACCACAGGGGGTGGGGGAGAGATTTTAAATTTTATTTTAAAGAGCATATAAATATTTAGAAAGGGACAGTGGGGGAACAGACCAAATTCAATTCCCGAATGAGCTCTGGTCAAGTAGTTCCCTTCCCTGGCTGTTTCACGAATCTTAACCATGCACCCTTCCCTCAGCCTCCTTAGGGCCCCGCCCCTTCTCCCACCTGAGCATCCCCAGCAGGGAAAAAGCGTGGGAGTGCTGTTCCCTGACTCCTGTTTGGGCAAGTTTCTGAGGAAGGTCTCCCCGGCCAGGCAGGGGAGCTGGCTCTCAATTGCCCCCTGACACTGGGCCCTCAGAGTCCTTCTGAGTCTGTCCCCCACTGGCCCTCAGCCAGGAGGGTTAAGCCACCACTCCAGCAGGTTATGTATGCCCTCTGATAAAGGCATCTTAGCCAGAAGTTTCCCACCCTTCCCATATGAAATGAGAGTGACCTTGTGCGTCTGTCTGTCTGTCCGGGCCTGACTGCAGATGCTGCTTTCTCTGTGCTGGGCCAAGTGCCTGGTTCAGGAGGAAATTCTGGATAGTGCTAGGAATTAGGTGTCTTGAGTGTGAACACTGCATTTTAATCTTTGTTTGCCCTGGAGCATCTATTATTAAGCCAGACACCCAGTGTGTATGCTAATAACCAATTGGTCTCACATGGGACCAGGTGGCTCCTTACGAATGATGCTACAGGTGATGTAGGTCCTGGGGCATCGGGGATGGCATGTGAGTAGCAGAGTTGGCTCTCATGAAGGCTCAACCTAGGAGGCCCCAATTCCAGCTCCTGGAAAGGCATGAGGTGTGCTTGCAGGAAGATGCAAGGTGAGTGATCTTGGCACGAGAAACCCTGCCTCCTGCATGCTCAAACTGCCCAGCCTCCAATTGTTGGGGTGGCGAGGGGATGACGTGGCGGTTACGCTCATTTAAAAGGCAGAGAGAAAATCATCCAAAACTACAGATGGTGAATTGCCATGAGAGGGGAGCGTTTTACACCTGGGGACACTAGCCTTTGGGTCCGTTATTGACCGAGATCAAGTCTGAATAGCATGTATTGGTGTAGGACGATTTCCTCCTTGCTGCCTGAACTCTCCCGGTATGGCTTCTCCCCCAGACACGCCCTGGATCCCAGAGGATCTAGGGGGCAGATTCTGCTGTGGGGCCTTCTGGGGAGCCCCAGAGGCACCTAACTCCCCATGACCACACTCCCTCACTCTAAGAGCCCAAAATCTTCAGGGGAGAGTCTGGGACAGGGAAGGGGAGGGGGCTTCAGTAACAACGCAGTAGAAGTTCTGTACTTGCTTTCCTTACTTGAGCCCACCGGTGGGGACAGTGTGGCATTTCTTATGCTCCAGCAGCTGTTCGGGGGTCTTCATGAACTTGTGGCACACGTCACATTCAAACATCCGGGTGATGAGGTGTATCTGCAGATGGCGCTCAAACATGTTCTTCGTCTTGCAGACAAAGTTGCAAAAAACGCATTCGAACCCTGCAAGGACCGAAGCTGGGTGTACAGGTGCATGGGGCAGAGGGACAGGAGGGTGGCAGTGGGGCCGAGTTCCCCCTTCCTCCCACCTCAGGCAGCGGCACCCCCGCAGCACTGTCCCCTGCACCTGCACGCTCAAGGGAGTTAAGTAGACAGCTTCAGGGTCACTGTCATCCAGTACATCCTGCTAGTCCTGAGGGATGCCAATCAAGCCCAAAGAAATGCAAATTACAGGTAACACACATGACGTTGTATGCTGGCCCTAACATGTGCTTTCTGATACCACGACTCTTGCAGGCCGCCCAGAGTGAGGAGGGCTGAGCAGCCCACACCCCCTCCTCCCTTACCTTTCTCTGGCTTCTCCTCGCTGTTCAGTGAGGGCTGGCTCCCCGGCAGCACCGAGATGACCAGCAGGTTGTTCCCACCCTTGTTTTTCTGAGAGCCATCAGAGTCGTCTTTGCTGTTTGCGGAATCACTCAGGGCTGAGAGGGACGAGGAGGAGGGGCTATTTGATTCGCTGGGGGTCTTCCTGTCTTCCCCTGGAAAACAGAAATAACCAAGGCCGGCTTCCTTAGCAGGATAAAGCCATTAGGATGACCGTGATTGGTGGACTGGGGGTTGGGGCAGGGCGGTGCATCACATCACATCGAGGCATGGAAATCCAGCGAGCACGGGGCTGCGTGTTCCAACTCCCCCAGGGCACTGAGCGGGGGAGGTCCAGACCCCGTGCACCTGTTGTGACCGCAACTCATTCCCTTGACAAGCCGTTACTGAGGCATCACAATAATTAGCGGAAAATGGCAATAGGTAACATAGACTGAACCTGTAACCAAGCTGTGGGAAGTGTAGTCTACTTTAAGCGCATTAGCTCACTGAATTCTCTAAGGCACAGCTATTTAAAAAAAAACCAATTTAATTGACACCTACTTCACGTGCCATACAATCCAACAGTTTAAGTGTACTCAAGGTTATGCGAGCACCACCACAATCAGTTTTAGAACATGCTCTTCATTCTTGCCCCCAGCCTCCCTTGCCATAACCATAGGAAGTTTTAATCTAGTAATTGTCTCTAGCTTTACCTACCCTGGAATTCACAGGAAGAAAACCATACCAAAAAATATCCTAACAGTGACAACAAAATAAAATACAGGGGAAAAAAATCTCAATTCAAGAGAAAGCAGAAGAGAAGAGAAACTAGAATAAATAAAAACAGGGTCAAAAGAAAACACAAACAATCAGATGTTCCACTTTCACCTAACTGCATCTGCAGCAAGCCACTTTCCCGTGCACTCGGTCTGAGGCAAGACCATTCACATGCCTGCTCCGGTTCCAAGGTTTCATCTGGGTGGGGCTCAGCGGATGGATGTGGGCTTTCACTGTCATCCATCAAACAAAGCATAACTATCATCCACTCCCAGGAAAGGGACGACGCTTTCTACTCCCGTAAAGACTTACAGTCTTATAAGGCCACAGGGGCAGTTCAATCCTATCCTGTGGGGCTGCTATGAGTTAGAATCAATTTGATGGCAGTGGTTGAGTGAGTATCAACTCCAATATTCCCTGGAGGTCATGGGGCACAGAGGACGTGGTCGGGAAGAGATCTGCGGGCAGCAGGTCTAACTCCACAGTCCATGCTCCCCTCAGGGCATTAGATGAAGTAAACAGGCACCCACAGAGCGGACTAATCATGTCAGTGGGTTATTAGAACCTAGGATCAGGAGACCTGTGCTCCCACCCAAGTAGAAATCAGGGGCTAGGTTTACCTTTCTTATTTAAACAACTGGAAAAAAATAATAAATTAGATGAACTCCTTTAGTGTTGGTCACAGCACCAATGAAGTTAGCCAAGGAAGACAAAAACCCCGGAGTGACAGGGAACAAAAGAGGTCAGCCCTCTAGTTTCCCAACATCCTGCCAGGCGAGCATCTCCTAGCTGCAGTGCACAGAAGAGAAGCCCAGGAGGAGTCCGAAGGACTCTGGTTTGAAGAAACAGAGCTCAAAGTATAGGGACAGAGCCCAACTCAACATGGCTAGACTACGTGGGCCGAGAACTGGAGAGGAGAGAATGGCGGAACTCGCACTCTGGTCTCCAGCAGAGTATGAATCAGAGTATGTGGGTGAAGAAACTGCGTAAGGCTGTGGGGAAAAAACCAAAACCCAATTCAAAAGACTTAAGAGAGCAATGTCTGGCGCATACACAGAGCTCGTAATACCAACAACCCCCAGCCACATTGGAAAAGAATTCAGGGGTACTGGGAAGAAAGGAGCCCTGGTGGCACAGTGGGTTAGGTGTTGGTCTACCAACCTCAAGGTCAGCAGTTCGAATCCATCAGTCAATCTGAGGGAGAATGATGAGGCTTTCTACTCTTGTAAAGAGTTGTCTTAGAAACCCACAGTGGCATTTCTACCTTGTCTTACAAGGTTACTATGAGTCAGTTATTGACTAGATGGCTGTAAGGTTTTTCTGTTTTTTTAAGTGAGATTGGTTAGAAAACTCAAGATCTTTTCATTTAAACCCCAAAATGAAACTTTCCTTTGATTCTGATTCAGCAAGGCCCGGTGATGTAGTGGGTCTTTGTTGTTGTTGTTGTTAATCATTTTATTGGGGGCTCGTATAACGCTTATCACAATCCATCCATCCATCCATTGTGTCAAGAACATTTGCACATTTGTTGTCATCATCATTCTCAAAACATCTACTTTCCACTTGAGCCCCTGGCATCAGCTCCTCATTTTCCCCCCTCCCTACCCATAACCTCCTCCGTCATGAACCCTTGATAATTTACAAGTCATTATTATTTGGTCATATCTTACTTCCAACATTTCCCTTCACCCACTTTTCTGTTGACCGACCTCCAGAGACGAGGTTATATGTAGATCCTTGTAATCGGTTCCCCCTTTCTACCCCACCTTCCCTCTACCCTTTCGGTATCACCACTCTCACCAATGAACCTGAGAAGTTCATCTGTCCTGGATTCCCTGTGTTTCCAGTTCCCATCTGTACCAGTGTACATCTTCCAGCTGGATTTATAAGGCAGAATTGGGATCATGATAGTTGGGGGGAGTTGTTGTTGTTGTTGCCAGGTACCATCAAGTTGGTCCTGACTCATAGTGACCCGGTCCTGCGCCATTCTCACAACCGTCCTTATGTTTGAGCCCTTTGCTGCAGCCACTGTGTCAGCCCATTTGGTCCACAGCTTCCTACTTTTCACCGTCCCTCTACTTTACCAAGCATGAAGTCTCTCTCAACACCGGTCTCTTCTGACAACATGTCCAAAGTATGTGAGACAAGATCTTGCTGTCCTTGCCACTAAGGGGCATTCTGGCTGTACTTCTTCCAGGACAGATGTTTGTGTTTTTTTTGGAAGTCCATGTGACTTTATAGATATTCTTTGTCAGCACCATAATTGAAATAATGAATGGACTATCACATGCATTTCTCCGGTCTTCTTTATTTAATGGACAACTTTCACATGCGTATGTGGCAATTGAAAATATCATGGATGATGGTGCCCGGCTATCAAAAGATATAGTGTCTGGGGTCTTAAAAGCTTGAAGGTAAATAAGCGGCTATCTAGCTCAGAAGCAACAAAGCCCATATGGAACAACATATCATGGAACAACATATCACGAGGAGTCAAACTGATCACGAGGAGTCGAACGGATCACTGAAGACAAATGGGTGCATAAGCAAAAGTGGTGAAGAAAGCTGATGGTGCCCGGCTATCAAAAAGTATAGCGTCTGGGGTCTTAAAGGCTTGAAGGTAATCAAACGGCCATCAAGCTCAGAAGCAACAAAGCCCACATGGAAGAAGCACACCAGCCTATGCAACCACGAGGTGTCGAAGGGATCAGGTGTAAGGCATCATCAGAACAAAAAAATCTTACTATAGTGAATGATGGGGGGAGTGCGGAGTGGAGACCCAAAGCCCATTAGTAGGCCACTGGAGATCCCCTTGCAGAGGGGTCTCGGGGAGGAGATGAGCCAGTCAGGGTGCGATGTAGCAATGATGAAAAATACAACTTTCCTCTAGTTCCTAAATGTTTCCTCCCCGCTCCCACTACCATGACACAAATTCGACCTTGCAAGTCTGGCTAGACCAGAGGATGTACACTGGTACAGATAGGAACTGAAATTACAGGGAATCCAGGGCGGATGAGCCCTACAGGACCAGTGGTGTGAGTGGTGAAACAGGGAGGGTAGAGGGAGAGTGGGTAGGAAAGAGGGAACCGATTACAAGGAACTATATGTGACCTCCTCCCTGGGGGATGGACAACAGAAAAGTGAGTGAAGGGAGATGTCCACAGGGCAAGATATGACAAAATACCAATTTATAAATTATCAAGGGCTCATGACTCATGAGGGAGGGGGGAGCGGGGAGGGAGGGGAAAAATGAGGACCTAATGCCGGGGGTTTAAGTGGAGAGGAAATGTTTTGAGAATGATGAGGGCAATGAATGTACAAATGCGCTTTACACAATTGATGTGTGTATGTATTGTGATAAGAGTTGTATGAACCCCTAATAAAATGATTTTTTTAAAAAGAAAAGAAAATATCATGGCTTGGGTCAGGCTAATATTAATTCTCAAATAAATGTTCTTGCTTTTAAACACTTTAAAGAGGGCTTTGCAGCAGATTTATCCAATGTGATGTGTCTTTTGATCTCCTGACTGCTGCTTCCATGAGCACTGACTGTAAATCAAATCAAGATGAAATCCTTGACTATTTCCATCTTTTCTCTGTTTTTCATGATGTTCCCTATTGGTCCAGTTGTGAGGATTTGGGTCTTCTTTATTTTGAATTGTAACCCATACTGAAAGTTGCAATCTTTGATCTTTGTCAGCAAGGGCTTCAAGTCCTCCTCACATTCAGCAAGCAAGATCATGTCATCTGCAAATCATAGGTTGTTAAGAAGCCTTCCTCCAATCCGAGTATAGCATTCTTTTCATATACTCTAGCTTCTTGATGGTTTGCGCAGCATACAGATTGAATAAGTATAGTGAGAGGATACCTGATGTACACCTTTCCTGATGTAAAACCCTTGGTCTGTTTACACAGCAGCTTCTCTGTCCATGTACAAGTTCTACAGGAGCACAATGAAGGGTTCTGGAATTCCCATTCTTCTCAAGGCTATCCACAGTTTGTTATAATCCACACAGCTGAATGTCTTTGCATAGTCAATGAAACACAGCAAACATCTTTCTGGAATTCTCTACCTTCAGTCTAAATCCATCACATATTAGCAATGATATCCCCTTATTCCACATCCTTTGCTGAATATAGCTTGGACCTCGAGTAGCACCTTGTCCATGTACTGCTGCAATGTACTGTTGGACGATGTTCAGCAACATTTTGCTTGCATGTGGAGAATGATGATTTTTAAAAATAGAAAGTAACTGGAATGGCCAAAATGTTTCCAACTTCGAGGAAAGATCATAAACCCACATATCCTAGAAGTTCAATGAATAACAAGTGAGTTCTAGTCAATTAAAATGACCCTTCTAGGGGAGGAAGAGAGAGTGCAGCACATCCTGGCCCA